AGTCCCTGGAAAAGGACATTATGTCTGGCAAAGTAGCTGGTCAGAGGAAAAGACAAAGGTCCCCAGTGAGATGGATTGACACAGTGGCTGAAGCAATGGGCTCAAGCATGACAACAATTTTGAGAATGGCATAGGACCAGGCGGTGTTTCGTTCCATCGTTCATAAGGTCAGTTTGTTGTACTGTGTAGCTTGCATGTTGGTGATACTGGGAGCAATGCTACCAAAATTTCAAATACCAGCACGGCAACACATGGTGGACAGATTTCAGTGAAGTTACATACATGTGGCGCTGTGGTTAATACATCAGACTGTAAAGTCAGTGGTTCAAGCTCACCAGCTTCTTCTTGGAAACTCTATACAGGGTCTCTATGGGTTGGAATCAACTCCATAGCACTTAACAACAACAACAAAATACAAACAGACTAGGAAGAAGGACCTAGCCATCTACTTCTTCAAAATTGGCCAGGGAAAACTTTATAAATAGCAGTGGAACACTGTCTGATATAATGCTAGAAAATAAGGCCTCAGGTTGGAAGGCACTCAAAATATGACTGAGGACCGGAACACTTCATTGTATTCATGAGGAACCTGTACAAAAACTAAGAAGCAGTCAATCAAACAGAACAAGACAACACTCAATGGTTTAAAATCAGGAAAGGTGTGCACCAAGGTTGTACCCTTTCACCATACTGATTCAATCAGTACACTGAACAAATAATCCGAGAAGCTGGATTATATGAAGAAGAATGTGGCATCCAAATTGGAGGAAGACTCATAAACAATCTGCTATTTACTAGCTGAAAGTGAAGAGGATTTCAAATACTGCTGAAGATCAAAAACCACAGCCTTCAGAATGGAGTGTACCTCAATGTAAATAAAACAAAACTCCTCACCACTGGAGCAATAAATAACATCATGATAAATGAAGGAAAGATTGAAATTGTCAAAGACTTCATTTTGCTTGTATCAACAATCATGGAAGCAGCAGTCAAGAAAAATCTGTTGCATAGACTTTGAAGTATTCAAGAGCAAAGATATCAGTTTGAGGACTAAGGTGCACCTGACCCAAGCCATGGTATTTTCAATAGCCTCATGTGCATGAGAAAATTGGACAAGGAATCAGGGAGGCTACAGAAGAATTGATGCATTTAAGTTATGGTGTTAGAGAAGAATATTAAAAGTACCATGGACTTCCAAAACAAACAAATAGGTGTTTAGAAGTACATCTAGAATGCTCCTTAGAGGTTAGGAGGGCAAAACTTCATCTCTTATACTTCGGACATATTATCAGGAGGGACCAGAGCTCCTGGAGAAAGTCATCATGCTTGGTAAAGTGAAGGGCCATCAAAGAAGAAGAAGACCTCCATCGAGATGGATTGGCACGGCGGCAGCAGCAATAGGCTCAAGTGTGATGATTGCGAGGATGGCGCAGGACTGGGAAGAGATTCATTCTATTGTGCAGAAGGTCATTATGAGTTGGAACTGACTCAATGGCACAAAACAACAATGATTAGAGTTTACCTTAATGACATGGATGGAACAAGGTTTCAGGAACATCATTTGAGAAACAGATGCAGAGATCCATTAGTAATCACAATGGGGAATGTAAGAAAAACTGGATATAGGAAGACTGGAAGTTGTAAAAAATGAAATGGAATGGTTGAGGACAGATATCTTAAGCAGTACTGAAATGGAATTATGTTGACCTTTTTGAATCAGACAAATCATCTGATCTACTATCCTGGGGATGACAAATAAAAGAGGAATGGTGTTACATTCTTTTTCAAAAAGAACATTTCAAGAACTATCCTGATACACAATACTACTGTCAGTGATGGAGTAATAGCTACATATCGACAAGGAAAACCAGAAAATACAAATATTATTTAAATATACTCACCAACTACTAATGCCAAAACAAAGACTTAAAAGATTATTATCAACTTCTGAAATCTAAAATTGATCAAACATGCCATCAAGATATAATGATAAATACTGGTGATTGGAGAGTGATTGGTGGAGACAAAGAAGGTTCAGTACTTAGAAAATATAGCCTTGGTAATAGAAGGTATACCAAGATCACAAGATAGACTTTTATAAGACCAATAACTCATTCACTGAAAATACCTTTTTTCAACAACATAAGTGAGTACTGCATATGTGAACCTCACCAAATGGATTATACAGGAATTAAATCAACTACATATGTGGAAAGAGACAATGGTGGAGATGGTCATGTACCATAGAGTCAGTTCCTTGTCATAGTGACTCTATATAAGATTTTCGAGGCTATAAGTCTTTTCGAGAACAGAAAACCTCATCTTTCTCCTGTGGAACAGCTGGAGATTAAAACTACTGACCTTGCAGTTAGCAACCCAACTCGTAACCCACTATGCTGCCAGAGCTCCTTGGGAAAAGCCAATAGAGAAGCTCAATATCATCAGTCAGAACAAAGCCAGGGATGAAGTCAAAACAGACCATCAGTTACTTATATGCAAGTTCAAGTTGATGCTGAAGAAAATTAAAACAAGTCCACAAGAGCCAAAGTACAAACCTTGAGTATCTCTCACCTGAATTTAGAACCCCATCTCAAGAATTTGACACTTTGAAAACTAATGACTGAACACTAATGAACCAGAATGTGGAATGACATCAAGGACAATATACATGAAGAAATCAAAGGTCATTAAAAGGACATTTGAAAAGAAAAAAAGACTAAATTGGATGTCAGAAAAGACTCTAAAACTTGCTATTGATTATAGAATGTTTTTGGATTTGTTGTTAGGTGCCATCGAGTATGTACCGACTCATAGTGACCCTATGTACAACAGAATAAAACACTGCCCAATCCTGGGCCAACCCTACAATTGTTGCGATGTTTGAGCACATCGATGCTGCCACTTTGCCAATCCATCTCACTGGGGGTCTTCCTCTTTTTCTCGGACCCTCCACCTTACCAAACATGATGTCCTTCTCCAGTGACTGGTGCCTCCTGACAATATGTCCAAAGTATGAGAGACAAAGTTTGTCCATCCTGGACTCCAAGGAGCACTCTGGCTGCACTTCTTCCAAC